GCACTTCCGACACTCCTCCATTTCCGGAATGTCACTGTTGTAACCAGAACTGCTCGAGTGTTATTAACAGCTGGGCGCGTACAGAGGTGATGAGACAATAAGAACTGAATTAAGGACATTGATGAACGGACCGGTTACGGGGCACAGAATTCCTGGTGTTCCCTTTGCTCCGCTATAAACCGTTGCCCTGCACTCGAGCCTACGGTCCCCAGTCAGGCGCTGCCACCCCTCGACCCCGCACGTCGTTGTCAACACCACGCCGCACATTTCCACAATTTCATCCATTTTCGTCTCCACAACGCACCTGGGTGAGGTCGGCGAAGCTGACACCGCAGCCTGCGGCCTTCATGGCCTCCCACTCCTTGTTCAGCGCCTCCATGCCGGTCGCCATGCCCCGGTTGTTCTCGTGGCCATACTCCTCTGGGAACCTCAGACTGCCGTTGGCGCCACCTTCCTCGCTTTCGCAGTCCCAAGTGCCGGCATCGTGGAATGCTGCCCGCAGCAGGATGCCCTCGAAGCGCACGTAAGCGTTGGCGGGGCTGGCTGGGTCGGGGTCCACGAGATCCGGCGTGCGCTTCGTGGCCAGGATGTTTTTGATTGCGTCGGATGCGCACTTGTAGATGGCCGTCTGCGCCTTGCCGTCGCCATACATGTTGGGGTCCAGCTCCCGCTGGGTGCACTTGCCGAGGGTGGCGTCCGACCTGGAGAAGCCCTGCGCAGATCGGATAGAAAGTGTGAGCAAAGCGGAAGAAGGAAACGCCGCGGGTTGCGCATTAGAGAGTGCGCGGCAACGAGGCGAGGCCTTGGTCAACGGAGCGAGGTCAAAGATTGTGGCTGACAATTGATGGGGGTCTGTGGGGGGTGCGCCCATAGGGCTGGGGGGCATGGGGATTCTGGCCAGCGCCACGTGGAACTGGGAGATCGTTTTATCTCGCGAGAGGTGCGGCGCTGAGGCGCACAGCGGGATCCCGGCAACGTGCCCAGCGAGGAGGCGGAGCGGCGCACGGGGCGGGTAAGGCGGGGTTTGAAAATTCATGGTTCTCGGCGTGGTTCCAAACAGGGCCCAATGCCTGGGACACCCTTCCCGCTGGCGTCTGCGACACATTCGCCGTACGGTACAGCGATTGAGCCCGCTGGGGTGGAAGAGCCCTGCCCTCGACGTCAACCACTGCGTTGGAGCGCCGCCGTGCCGCCAAGGCACCCGACACTCGCGCAAGCGCCTGCAGGACCTGTGTTGTAGATCATGGATGGGGCATGACGCGACGTAAGATTCCATCCGTGTGGCATGGGCGCCCAAAACTGAACGTTGCTGGCGGGGTTAGCGGGAGCTTAACCCACGGGTACGGGGGAGGCGGAGCACGAGGCAGGAGGGGGCCGACGCAACGCGCGCAACAGGACTTCAGCTACCGGGGGCTATGCCACGCTGGATGTCGCAGGTTTGAGGCAGGTTCCGTGGCGGCAGCGGACGCATGGGGACGTGCAGAGTCCGCGACTCCGCGGAGCACTCACCAGCAGCAGCACGGCGAGCAGCAGCATCGAGGCGCCTCTTCCGAGCGCCATGGCGGCAGAAAGCGGCGAGGGCTTCAGGAGGTGGGCAGTGGGGTTCAGTGGCTGGACAGGTTTTGTGTGGCAGCCCCCTGGGTGCGGCTTTTATAGCCGTAAGGGAGTGTGAGACGCGGCTTACTTCCGCCAACTACGCATCCTGCTTGGGGGCTTCCAGAGTTGCCTCGGCGAATCGGCGCTGTGGCGCACGCTGACACTGGCGGGCCGCGCGGCCAGTGTGACATGCGACGCCGCGGCTTCTCCGCGGCCCCAGCAACGCGTGTTGCGGGGCGGCACGCCGGTTCCGGGAGCAAACCTCGTCACACCTGCGTCGCGGCGGCTGCTCGAGAGAATCTGACGTCGGGTGCTGCCGCGGCGATTCGTGAACCCCGGTCAGTTGCCGGTCGCGGACCGTTGGCCGGCCTTGTGCCCGGCAACGCCGCGTGCCGCACGGCTGAAGGTTTGCGTCTGACGTCTGGTGGGATGACGTGATAGCTTTGGGTGACGCGGCGCAATACCTATAGGTAAGTTGCATAGTACATATAGGTAGTAGGGTAAGTACATATAGGTAAGTTGCGCTGGGGAGCGCGACTGTGACGTCCGGCGGCGCCAGAAGTTTGGCCGCAACTCTTTCCCGCATGCTGGACATTGAGTACTTTTAACTCTTCCTGCAGAGCTCAAATGCCATCAGTGATCAGGCAGAGCCCACGGATCCGTCACCACCACCCAAGAGCATCAGGGTCTTCGTTATCACCTTGGCACTTCACCAAATTTCCCAGAAACGCAAGTCCGCCACAGTGGTTCCGGGCACTAGCAGCGGTAAAGATTCTCATCGCCTTCTCGTTTCCTTATACTTATAGGTGATCTTCATCATTGCCTCACGTGCGGCAGTGGGCACACAATTCAACACACGCTGTGTTGCCTTCTATGTTCATGTCTGGTGCGAACGGCACTGTTGTACTGCCACAGCGCTGCTGCCCAATGAGGGCGCGTTTTGATTTGCGGAAAGGGCACTACGGGAAAAGAGGGGCGTTCATGCAGTTTCCGAGTGGCTCCGACGCGTCTGAGCGCGTCCGGGCGCGTCTGCGCAGTGCACGGACGTGTCTGAGCGGCCACTGAAAAGCCTTCCAAGGCCTCGGATGGTTCCGCGCGTCCCTGGACCCTCCCGAAGTGTCCGAAGGGGCTCGGAAGCGTCCGAAGCCTTGGAAGGCTTTTCAGCAGCCGCTCGGACACGTCCGCGCGCTGTGCAGACGTGTCCGGGAGCGTCCTAGGCCTCAAGGGTGATGGGCGTCTGCGTGGACACTCTAATTCCCCCAGTGGCCGCAGGATGCGCAGACAGCTTTTGGAGTGTCCGGGAAGCGCTCAGATGGTTGAACAGCGTACGCGCGACACGCGGATAGTTTTGAGTGTTTCTGAGGAGTCCCATAGCACAAACACTGTGCGCATGTTGAATGTACGACATTCGCCCCATCAAAGTCAAACGGTGCCGTGACTGCCCAACTCAACACAGCGCCCCAGGCACCGCGCAGCAAACCCTGTGCTTGGTTGTCTGCTCAACAGCAGGCACGCGGCATCAGCTTTGGCGAACGGCACAAAGCACACGCAGGTGATGGACACTGAGGCTGGCGAGGTGGGCTGGCAGATGCACGTGATGATCTTTGAAATTGGGAGGGTAGAGCAGCCGAGGCAAAAGAAGGTGCGGGGCGAGGCAGAGGGGGCCGGAGGGGCGGATGCTTCAGCACAGGCACCCAGCATGCTTGGGGCATTGCTTTGATGTGTCTTATGTGAGGTGGATGCTGATCTTCTGATTGCTTTTGCCCCAAACTGGCCGACGCGAGCGCCCAAATACGTGGGCTTAACCACCATGACAAGGCGTCTGCCTGTGACCTTTGTACCCTTTCAAGCTTCAACTAGTAGGCCTCGCTTGGAATCAAGGCCATTCTAGGGGCCTACTGCTCCCCGCCACGAGAATTGCTGGATGGGATCGCAAGGTGGAAATTGGGGATCCTCGCCGAATCCACCATTTTATCCCTTGTAGCGCTTGCAGTGGGACCAGGGACAGCCAGCCATTCTAGCTGGCTCGTTCGACCAGCCTCGCCATGCCCCTTCGCTTTACACAACCCCAAACCCTCCTTGCCAATCCTGCTAAAGACAATGCGAAGGGCGAATGGGACCCCAACGGCTCCAGGGCTGTGCACAATGACACACGTCAGCGCGTCATGTGAGTGGTGGCCATGTTGCGCATAGACTCGCCCCCGCCAAACTGCCCCAATGCGCCTACGCCAACGCCATGCTGCGAAAGATGACCCCATCCCGCCCACCTCCAACAGCAAAAGGAGGAGAGAGTCGCCACGCCCAGCACCCCACGCACCGGTCGGGGGTTTGGAAGCACCGGGGTGAACAAGCCATGCCAAGATTGGGGTGGATGACCACACTCGACTCGCGGAGGGCGGCCCGTGGAGGACGCTTCTTGGCGATGGAGCAAACGGTTTCCGAGGGGCTCACACTTTAAGCATGCTTTGTGTGCAGGCCGCCCAAATGCTCCGATTTCCCACAATTGTGGAGCCAAATTGATGTGGAACCAAGAGTGTCAGTGACAAAACCTGACTTTTGTGTGCTGTGTGTGCAGGAGCGAGAATCGCCAGAGATGAAGGAACCAGGCGGTAAGCAACTCACAGGTTTCTGTGTGCTGTGTGCACAGGCCACCCAGGAGCCAGCTGGAGAAGCACTGACATTTCAGTGTGCCGTGCGTGCGGGCTGCCCCTGCTCTGCCATCGTCAATGATGGAGGAGGCTGGGGGCTTGAAAAACTGATGGCTTCTGTTTGCTTTGCGCGTAGGCTCTTCAAGTGCCGCGATCTTCAGAGGCGGAAGATCGCCGACCCTCGCCTTACAGTGCGTGCCACCACTACCAAACAAAACAAAATGGTGGGGGGGCACTTGCACCTCCACACCCTAAACGGTCGCCTGGGGGACCACTCAAACCCACAATCCAACACGCAATCCACAGGGCACGTCACTGACATGCCGCCACACAGCAAACCAATGCCGGCATCGCTATGCAAAACGGCGACGCTTGAGGGACAACTGGCAACCCCCCGCCCCCCCCCCCAAAAAAAAAACAATCAAATCCAACACGGCACCGTCCGCGCACTGGCCGCGCACACTTCGACGGCGTCGGCGTGCTCCCCGGACGGCGTCCGTGCGCACTGTGGACGATAGGAATTGTCCAAAAGTGTCCGAGCACATAGGAAAAGCGTCCGATGCGTCCGAGTGATGCACGGACGGAAAAAGTGTCCGCGTTTTCCCGGATTCTACGCGCTCGGACGCAGCGGACGCGCTTAGACGCTTTTGTCTCAGCGCTCGGAAGTTCTGCATAATGCGCGGACGCTCTGGGCGTTTTTCTTAGTGCCTCGGACATTGCCAATAGCGCGCTCAGACGCGCTCGGATGCGCTCGGACACGATCGGAGATTCTGAGGCGCTCGGAAACTGCGTCGACGCCCCCTTTCCCCGTAGTTGGAGCAAATCATCCTGAAGCGCAACCACAAAAGTGTGACCAGACTTGTTGTTTACACTCAAAATGCCCAAATTACTTTTCTTGCATGTTACGCTGAGGTGAAGCACATTGGAGGATTTGTGGGATGGCAGCCGGACGCGCTCGATCAAGCCTGTCGCGACTGTGGCGAACGACTATCAGCTTGACGGCCACGTTGTCGCCCTTTGCGGGCGTGAGGCGAAGGCTGTGCTGTGGTCGCTCGGGTTCGAGCAGGGAAGACGACTCCTCCTTGCGAGGCGGTGGCGATATGCCAATTCAGTGACAACGTGTGAAATGGCTGCATAGATCCCTCGCAAGCATGCATAATATGCCCGTAATTATGGTGCTGTGAAGGTTGACAAAAGGCCTCACTACACTACCAACCGAGACAGTTACAAATTCAATGAGCTGTCTAAATGTCGCGCTCAAATCAAGTGGTTGTGCCCGGAATCTCATTTGACCGTTTCACCAGAGCCTTGGCATTTAATCGACAATATGTTGCGAGTTTTTGTTGATGACCGTTCCTTTACCCCTTTCCCAACCACATCCATTAATTGGGTAGAAATTCTACGACCCACATATACGACCTTCAACCCATCCTCTAAATCTCGCTATCCACCCCAGCTGTCCTTGCTTGCACATTCTATGTTAACAATTAGTACATTGTCCTACAACGGTCCCATAGTGCCTTCCCCATTGACCCCCATCTTCCCCATCTTGATGTAGCTGTTGGTAAAATCCCTGTACCAAAGCCCGTTAGAAAGCCTGTAGGACACCACCAATGCCGCTGTGTCCACGTGATCAAGGAGGGCAGAATCGGAACAGAAGTTGTTCCCGTTCACGTTCTTCATGCAGCCATCCTTGACAAGCTCGCGATAGTAGACGTTGTCGAAGTTATCCGGGGTGCCGTCCATTGGGCCCAATTTTGGGTGCGTTCGGGAGACGCCTATGCTGTGGGCGCCGCTGAGAGCCACCAAGTCCTGTATCGATGGCAAATACAATGGTTCGGGTTTGAATTTAAAACCGCGGCGTGAGGCTTTGCTTTCAAGAGGGGAGCCATAGCGTACAATGGAGATATTTCTCCACACGGGTATTAATTTCTTTGGATTGAAATAAATGGAACAGTCTATTAGTTTTGTGCAAATTTTCCACTCGGTGCTGGCGCGTGATTGGCGCTGGTGACGCGTCTCCATGGAGACACCCTCGTTGGATCCACGCGCGCATGGAGGTTCATTGTCACCTTTAAACTGTATCCATTGGCCCTGAAAATCCTTTTCAAGTCCTCGATGTTCGTGCTCGTTCCAGGCAACGCGTGCGTCGTGCTGAGATCCGGCCCAGTGGCGTCGCGCCTCCCAATCGGCACAGTGAAGCGCGGTAGACCAGTGAAGAAACAAGCCTCAGCACCCGCTATCTGTTTGAACAAAGAGCAACCACAAAATCATTGCTAGTAGTTGGGTTAGCGCGGCGCAAGGACAGGGCTTTACTCCACAAAGTGTACTGCAAGCAGCGGCCAACCGTTGGATGCTGTATTGCTTCCACAGCATTTGCATGATCTCCTCCGGGCTGTAAGCCATTGGATTTGCGTTTCCAAATCAGCGCTGTTTCTTTCAGACGAGCTGGGCACTTGAGATGATGCATTTGACGAAGCTCATTCAACTAAATGAATGAAATTCAATGGTTCGATTTGGCAGTACCGGCAGCGATGACACCCAATGAAGTCCACCCGCAACTTGCCCATTTTGCATATTTATGAGTCTCCAGAATTTTCACTGCACTACTGTGGCATGTGCACAAGTATGGAAGTAATACAATAAAGCAAAATAGAGTTACGAAATATTGCAGGAACGCGTACAGACCCTGTTTCCTCATTTAAAGCGGGTCAAAGTGCAGTCCAGAACGCAATCGTCCAACTGCGTGCCCGCCCCGCCCATGGAGCCACACCACAATGCCTGCCCGTTCCACCTGGGTTCTTTCCTCGTCTCTTCAATTACTTGCACAACGCTATCGCTTCTCCAATTTTCCTGGTCGCAAGCACACCTGGATCAGATCGGCGAAGGTGACGCCGCAGCCCGCCGCCTTGAGCGCCTCCCACTCCTCCACCAGCGCCAGCACGCCGTCCCTCATGCCCGCGTTCGCTGGCTGGTCTACCTCCTCCGGGAATCTCAGGCTCCCGTTGGCACCGCCCCGCCCGCTGTCGCAGTCCCAGGTACCGGCGTCGTGGAAAGCCATCCGTAGGAGGGTGCCCTCGAAGCGGAAGAACGCATTGGCGGGGTCTCGTGGGTTGGCAGGGTCAGCCAGCTCGGCGGTGCGCTTTGTGGCGAGGATCTTTTGTATTGCGTCGGAGGCGCATCCGTGGATCGCCTGCTGGGCACTGCGGTCGCCGTACATGGCGGACTCCAGCCTGCGCTGCGTGCACCTCGCGCCTCTGTCGGGAATGCCAACGCTGCTGTCTGGACTGGGCATACCTTTGCCGTCGAGAGTTGGCAAACCGTCGTCGTCGGGAATGGCCCCACCGTTGCCATCGAGATTGGCCCCGCCTCTGTCGAGATTGACAGCGCGGCGGTCAAGAATGGCCGCGCGGCTTTCGAGGATGGCCACGCCTCGGTTGATGATCGCCGCGCCTTCGTTGCCGAAAATGGGCGCACCGTTGTCAAGGTTAGATGCACCAGTGTCGAAAAGGGCGCACGTCCGGGGAAGCGCCTGCGCGATTCGAGGGAAAAGAGTCAGTGGCAGTGCCTTGGGGGCAGCTTATCAGTGCATATGGGAACATATAAAGGGAGCTTGCTGTGGAGCCTTTGCCAGCGGAGGACGTCAACGATCCCTCCCACGAATTCGTGAGGGAAAGGGAAGGGG